GGCCGGCTGGGCGTCGGGACGGCCGGGGTTGAGCCTCAGGGCGGCTGGGCCGTTTGTTCCCCGCGGTCGGGGCGTCCTGCCGGTTCCTCAGAAACCAGCCTGGCTGCCCCAGTTCCCTCGGCGGCCGAAGCCGCTTTGCTGACCCCCTCAGGTGGTTTCTGCTGGCCGACTCTGGAGGAAGGTTCGGAGCGCCCGCGACTGAACTTCCAGAGATAACCCACGCCAGCAAGGGAGGTGAGTGAGTGCTCGGCTCTCAATATTGTTTGGTGGGTGCCTTATATACATTCAGAATTGGGGCTTTCTTCACTACAATGGTATCCCCAGAATCGTCGTTGAGAATGTCAGTGGGGACCACCCTGGCTTGCTGTGAGAATCACAGGAACAAGGAACCTGTGAAAGGTAAACGGACTGGACCCTGATCTGATGGAAACATTTTTTTTAATTGGCACACTGAAGGAGATTTGTACTTGTTATTTGATGTCTACTGGTTTTATTTAGTTTTTGTAATGGTATTGTGATTGTGGTTTTTAATAACCCTTATCTTTTAGAGTTCCTGACTGAAGTTGAAATATAGGTTGGAGATTTGCTTCACAGTGATCCAGATTCCAGGAGGCTGCTGATGGAAATGGGGGAACTAGATGAGGGGAGATTGGCAAGCTTGGTGATGGGTGTGGAATCTGTGCACTGTTTTCTGTGTTTGTGTATGTTTAGCGGTTTTCCTTTAAAAGTGACTCTTCCTCCCTTGGGGCCACCACCCCACCCCAGGTATATTTTGCTCTACTTGAATCTAGATTCAGGGCCATCCACCGATCCTCATTCTTTGTAAATTGGTTTCCAGGCTGCTTCTCCAGTAACAAGTTTTCTTTTTCTCCCTCCTGGAGGTGCTCCCCCACCGAAAGGCACAGGTTTTTACTGAAGACGTGGAGGCTGAGTGGATCAAGTTGATGCAGGTGGATGCTGGTTCAGCTTTTTCTACACAGAGGGTATTAGCAAGGCCCGGGGTTGTATGAAATGTGTTAGCAGTTTTTCCCAGTTGTCCAAATCCCCTCCAGGTCACTCTCATCAATAAACAGGACAAGGTAGTGAACACGAATCTGTAATTCTACAAGCATTGTTTGTGTGAAAAGGATTACATAAAACCAAAGCCCAAGATAAGTGGAGGTATTATTTGAAAGAGAGCTTTCTTTTGTGTTGCTTTTCATCTTTACTAGTTTGCTTCAGGGTTCCCAATATGTTAATATTTAGTGAAAAACCAATTCCTAAAAATTCTGCATGCATGGTGTTAACATTGCTCTTATTCTCTTCAGGAGCCCTGCTTTGGCAGGAATGGGAGGGGTGTGTGGGGTGTGATTTCTGTATATTCATCTAGCTTGCTCATTTTTTCCCTTGGGATTTATCTTTTAACTCTTACTCATTCTGCTATGCTGGATTAGTCTGTAAAAATGTGTTTTGTTTTGTTTTGTTTTTAAAGGGAGCAGTTGAAGCTCCTTAAGGGGAGGCGTGCTCCTGAAAGATAAACCCACAGTTTGTAGTAGCTTCAGTGTAGCTGAATTTAAAGCCTAGTCTCCTTCATGTAACAAGAAAACAAGACAAATTTGTGGGACAGGTAAAAAGTTAAGTGTTTGATGAATCCCTTCAGCCTAGACTTTGCCCTTGAGTAAGAGAAGTTGTAAAGATGCTTTAAGATTCAGTTGAGGGATATTCTAAAGCATGTGCTAGTTTCGCTGTAATGTGTTGGAAAACAACAAGAGAGCCAACAAATATCCTCTCACAGTGGCAAAGTATCATAGTGAATTTGTGATGGTACTTTAGTGGAATTGTTTAGCTTATGACTTAAAGATTTCTTCGTATGAATAAAAGAAGTGTGCGACTGTTAAGAGACTTTATCTTCTACCTCAGTTGCCTCTCTAGTTTGCTAAAATGAAAATGGAGGGATAAAGGAAATTCACCAGGCTCTGAAGTGACCTGTGACCTAATGTTTACTCTCCTCTTTAGAGGATGGTGAAATTGGACTCGAGACTTGACTGCTAATAGCCATTTTTAAGGAATTACCGCAAGTGTGGTACCATCTTCTCCCCGCTTCGTGTTATTGAAGGGGGATAAACACATTAGAAGAGCAAATTGCTCCTTTGTTGGTTTTGAAATGAGAGGAAAGGGTGTTGGCAGTTGAGCCAACAGTATTCTACCTTGGTGAGCACTTTGCTGTCCTGCCCATCACCTCATCGCGTCCTGGGGTGGTGCAGTAGTGGTATAATGTTATTTTGGCTTTTAACAGGTGGAAATATTGAAATTAAGGCTGCTAAGACTTCAGTTGTTTTTTCAGGGTTACAACAGAAGGAAACAAGGTTTATTAAGAGTTCCTGGTAGTCTTCACACTCTTGTTTTTGATTCTCACAAATCTAGTTGGGTTTTACAGTTCATTTTGCAAATGGTAACCGTGACTTAGAGAAGTTACTAGTATGTTTGAGAGGCTGGAGCTAGGAGAAGTAGAGCTGGTCCCAGTTCCTTGGGATACTGACACAAAAGAATCACCAATTCAAGGACAGGCTGGGCAGCTTAGCAAGACCCTGTCTCAAGGAAACAAATGAACAAACAAAAACCAAGACTGAATCCTAGTTTTGTGGGACCTGAGGTCTGTGTTAGTTCCAGCTGCAGTAGTTCCACACTGCTGTTAGCGGGCAGTGGAGTAGCACAGCCAGAGCTGGGAAGTTGGTCTTTTTATCATACCCTACTGCCCTGGTAACATACGGGGGCCTGGGCCACATCCAACTACTGTATCAGGCTGGCACAGAGTTAAACAGGGAAAAAAAAAAATAACAACAAAAAAACCCAAAAAAACTGAGCTGCCATTGGAAATTGGGAGATTACAAATATTCTACCTCAGGAATTCCCAAAAGTGGTACTGGAAAGGCCTCCCCTTTAGGGAAGAGTGGTGCATTCTAGTTTCCTCTGGCCTCCATTGCTCCCTGAAGTGTCTCCTTGAGGTTGTACTGTTGAATCTCTTACAGTAAGACATGTGTGTGTTACTATCCAAAATGGGATAACCGAATGTATACTGACAGGCTCTTATCCTCTGAGGAAATAAAAAGGCCGTATTTATTCTGCAGACCTGTATCAGAAGAACAAACACAAGTTAGGTTATTTTTTACTCATATCCTGCCTGCTTTTCTCATATAAACAGAACTTTAGATTTGCTGCCCTTGCAGTATTCAAAGAAATGGAGCCCACGTGTAGGCAAGCCTCCCTTGGGAGGAGGAATGCCTGCCACATCGCATAACGTGTGACTGTTTCGTGAGTGGAAGGATAAGTCTTGTGCAGCTGGGGGACTCCCAAGGATGCCCCATGTGAAACCCTCCCTCTTTCAGCACCATGACTCTGGGACCCAAATAGATGCCAAGAGTCTCCCAAGATTTGCAGTTTCTCTCTCACCCTTCTCTTCCCACTGTGCTCCTGCTAATGACAAATCTGCTCTTACTAGGCATACATAGCGCATCAGAAATCCTTAATGGAAGTAAGGAACCTAGGCACCGTGGAGTCTGGTTCCCAGGTGTTTCTGCAGTACAAGCTTAATTTCCTCTTCTTGGATCTTTTAAAGGTCATAGGACAGATGTCCTCACCTCTGCCCTTCCCTGGAAGTTCATCACAGCTGAAGCTCCTGCTTGGATCTTTGTTTCCTTCCTGAGTCCCGTGTGTGTGTGTGTGTGTGTGTGTGTGCATGCGCACGCGCCGTGCACATGTGTGCACAGAGGGAAAATGAACTCATTGATCTTGAGGAAAGGCCAGGTGCTACTTAAAGACCTCTGTTGCTGGAACTGTCAGACTAGCTGTGAACGTGCCTTGATGAGGTAAGGAAAAAAAAGCAAGGACTGCAACTGGAACCCCTGATTTTGGCTGAAAGAAGTTAGTTGAGAAGCAGAGATGTTTTGTAAATGCTAGACCAGTGAGTTGATTGGATCCTTTCAGGAGAATTTGGGATTTCACAGTTCTGCTCCTGGGATGCCATGTACAATTACTCCCTTATCAAAGAGAAGTGGGTGATTATGTATTTTTCAAAGTAAACAGAGGCAAGGCAAATCAGTCCTGAGTGTGTACTTAGCCAGATTGTTGGGATTGATTTCTGGTTCTTTTGCTACCCAACTGTGTAATCTTGGCTTATTTTTATAACCTCACCATCTCATTTCCTCTCTTAATATTGCCTGCATCCTAGAGCTGTGAAGATTAAATGACACATCAGGAGTTCCTCACAGTACCTGGGGGTATAAGATTCACTGTGAGTCAGATATTATTATTGGTGTTGGTGGGACTTGCCTCCTTTATTTTCACTTTATTGAGGGTGTGGCTGGTATAAGTGCTTTCCAGCTCTGACCTGGCTGTTTACAAAATGGGCCAGGGGCTGCCGCTGTGGCCTTTGAGAAGTGTTTTCCTCCAAGAACACTTAACAAATATTTGGTGTGGCAGCAACTTTTGAATTGATGAGAGCTGGGGTCTGAGCCTTTGGCTTTGAACCCAAGGCTTTGTCTCTGTTGTTTGGGGATTAAAATCCTCTCTGCCTGTGAAAGCAGATGGAATCCCTTGGCATTTTATTTGGATGAAATTCCAGCCTGGTGTAGAAGAGCAGACTGGTGTCAGCATGGGCGCAGGAGCCCCAGCTGCAGGTATGCCACTGCCTGGCAGAAGTTAAGGCTGGATCCTCTGGGCATCCAGTACTTTATGTGCCATCTGGGGATAAGCATAAGAACATTGTGAAGGGTAACAAGATTTTATGAAATCCCAACACTGGCACAGTGAAGAATTGTGTCTGATTTTTCCCTTTGTGGTAAATTTATAGACTGCACTGTCAGGTTTACTTTTTAACTTGAAAAAATACTATTGACGGCATTAACTGACTAGTACTTGCACTTTAAAGTTTTAAAGCATTTTATAGTTTTAAAAAGGGCTATCTAATTTGATCTTCAGCCAGTGATGCAGATTTCTATTTATTTGCATTTGTTTGTCTTTCCTTTTGCTGCCTGTCAGGAGAGGCACCAAAGTGCACCTGCTGAAATGAGGTCTAGGCCCAGGCTAGAAATGGGAACATGGCATGGGTTTCATTTTACTTTATCCCAGAAGGTAGCATGGATTCTTGTTTCTTACGCCTTCAAGTAGTCCTAAGGAGTGGTTGCATTCTGGGAGGGGAGAGATTGTTGAGGTGTTTACAGGAAGTTGAACATATCCGTTGTGTCCAGGGAAGTTGAATGGAGGGGCAGCAGATCCTCCCTGTTGCCGGCTCCTGCCAAGATCCACTCAGTAGGCTTTGGATGCTCCTTCCCGGCTTCCCCCCATGCAGACTCAGCTTTATCTCTCTACCTTCATCAAACACTTTGCCTTTCTCCTCCTAAAGCCCTAGCCAGGAATTATATTCTGTGGAGAACTTCTCCAGACCCCTTACCCTATCCCCCAGCTAATGGGCCCCAAACCCACTTGTCCCCAGTCCTTGAATCATTTTCACCTTTCTTCCCTTCATCAGCCACTTTCCATTGGTATCCTTGCCCTCCAACCCTAATCCTGCCCTCCAACTTCATTGTATTCTAGAAGGTTTAAAGGGAAAAAGCCTTTTATGACCCCACCATCTTAGGATCCTAAGATATTAACATTCTGATACATTTTCTTTCCTTTTGTTCTTTAAATAAACTTAATAAATGTAACAATTATAAACATTTAATTAATTTTATATTACCATTTTAACATAGTCACCATGCTGTGTGATTAAAATGTTTCATTGCATTTTCCTGTGTCTTTGTATTTTTAATGACTTGCATACCCATTTCAGCCTTTAATTCATTCTCTTAAAATTAGAAGGTTGAGGGGCTAAGAGTGCAATTCAGTGAAAGAGCATTTGCCTAGCATGCACAAAGCTCTGGGTTTGATTCCCCAGCTCCAGAAAATAATAATGATAAATTAATAAAATAGGGCTAGGGATATAGCTCAGCAGCTCAGCACTTGC